TAATCTGGTCATTAGTGCACTCTCTTGGCTTTTGTCCCTTTTCTCTCTTACCTTTCCCACTCCCTCACTTGTGCTCTTGGGATCAGCAACCACATCAGCTACCTGCATCCAAGTCTTTTCTCAGAGTCTGCTTTAGGGGGAACCCAAACTGAAACATGTCCAATTTACATGTTATACAAATTTGTACAGAAATACACACATTTTTTTTCCTGTGAAAAAGACCTATTTGCTTAACAAATATATTCTTTATGTTCACTCATTTCTTGAGAACCTACGGTCTCCTAGACATTGTAAAATTGAACTGGTAACTTGTATTATTAGTTATTTTTATGTGTTTATCGTACATATATTTTTGTGTTATATATTTGTATATGCAAGTATGTATATATATTCTTTCTTTCTTCCTTCCTTCCTTCCTTCCTACCTATCTATCTATATAAAATCCACCCTTGCTCTTAAATTCATTGACACTAGGAACTATGACTTCCACTTATGTATTTCTCCCGAGTCTAATGCAGTCCAGTGCAAACAGTAGGTGCTCAACAAGTGTTTCTTGATTAAGCATTCTTATTCTTAAGCTTCAAATACAGTATACATTGTTATATACAAAGTCAACACATAAAATTGATATTAGATAATTTTCATATTAAGGAATTACTAAATTTAACAAATATTTGCATACCTCCTATATGCAAAAGCATGGTGGAGGCTATGAAATCAGAATGCAGGAACTTAACATGATGTGTGATAGGTTCTATACAGCAAAAATTAGGTGAAAAAAATGAGTTCAAGAAATAAATATTTATTATTTCAGAGGAGGGAAGGATTAGGATTGAGTGAAAGACATGATTGGAAATAGCTTCTAGAAGTAGTAATTATTTGAGATGGGCCTTGAGGAATTGGTAGGATTTAAATAAGTAGAGAATGGGGACGGTGTTGCAGTGGTGGAGTGCAGAGTGAGAAATCAGTGGTAATAAAGATAAAGAAACATGATATAACGTGGAGAATGAAAATAAAGGGACCTGAATGAACATGGGGTATATGAGGAATGATGAGATGGCCTGACTGATGGTTAGTTTCCTGTTGAGTAGTGGATAGGAAATAAACAATGGAGGGCCTTTAAAACCCAAGGAATTTAGACTTTGTCACTGAAACAAGAGGGAGTTCTTGAAGGATTTTTGAACATGAACTATAATAACTAAAGTAGAGATTGAGTTGAAGAGGATTCGTTTAGCATGTTGCATAGAAAGAGCAAGGTGGAGCAAGGCTGATGGCATAGAGACCCAGTACACCTTGCTTTCTCAAATCTTCAGTCTTCTTCAGCTTTCTGTTTAAGTAAGCATTTTTCTCTTTTAGATAATCCTACTGTGCCTTTAGAATCAATTTTGATTCATTGTTGTGCTTTCTTCTTTTAGATCATAGTGTTTTATTCATTAAAAAGATTATCAGTTTAAAAAAAAAGTCTAAGCAACCAGACAATTGCATTCTGTTCTTCCTGGGACTACTGGGAAAGGGGGTCGATAGAAACAGGGTGACTTCAGTCTGGTTCGTTTCATTGAATTTTAAGTTTTTTTTGTTCTTTTGTAATTTTTTTTTTGTGTGTGAGGAACATCAGCCCTGAGCTAACATCCGTGCTAATCCTCCTCTTTTTTTTGCTGAGGAAGACCAGCTCTGAGCTAACATCTATTGCCAATCCTCCTCCTTTTTTCCTCCCCAAAGCCCCAGTAGATAGTTGTATGTCATAGTTGCACATCCTTCTAGTTGCTGTATGTGGGACGCAGCCTCAGCATGGCCAGAGAAGCAGTGCGTTGGTGCACGCCCGGGATCTGAACCCGGGCCGCCAGTAGCAGAGCATGCGCGCTTAACCGCTAAGCCACGGGGCCGGCCCAATGTTCTTTTGTAATTTTAAGCTTTCTACTAAACATTAAAATGATGGCTATACCGATGACTTTATAAATCCCAATTTTGAGATTTAGTGAGTGTTATGAATACTTTCATGAGAAAGTCATTATCATTCTGAATTATCTTAGTTTACATATTGCTAAATTTTGAGACAATTTCATTTCTTATAGAAAGACTTTTTCCCCATTTTTCTCACATAAAAAATGAAAGTTGGGGCCGGCCCAGTGGTGCAAGCGGTTAAGTGCGCGCGCCGCGCTCCGCTGCGGTGGCCCGGGGTTCGCCCGTTCAGATTCCGGGCGTGCACCAATGCACCGCTTGTTGGGCCATGCTGTGGTGGCGTCCTATATAAAGTGGAGGAAGATGGGCATGGATGTTAGCCCAGGGCCAGTCTTCCTCAGCAATAAAAGAGGAGGATGGGCAGATGTTAGCTCAGGGCTGATCTTCCTCACACACACACACACAAAAATGAAAGTCAATGGAAAAATACTTGACTGAAATCCACTTGTAAGGAATGCTTTTATGTGAATATGGCGATGTACACATGCGCTTTGGAATACCATCCGTCTAGTATGCTACTGCGAATGTATTACTATTTTTAACAGAACCTTTACCGACGAGATATAACTTGATTTATACAAATTAGGAATATTTTAGAAGTTACTTTCATCTACTAATTTTCTGTTTCCTTTAATCGTTATAAGTATTAAACTATATTCAATTAAAAAAAACAAAGGCATTACTTCTTTATCCTGTGCTTTGGTTCGTCCTTGTGCTCAACAAGCATTTGTTGAACACAGCCTATGGGAATCGCCCTGGGAGATGCTGGGATACAGAGATGACTCCAAGGACGGTCTCCTCAAGGAGGCTGTTTTCAGGAGGGGCCAGACTTGTAATAAATGATGAAGTGTCGTAATTACTCCCAGGCCTCCAAACAGGATATGGTAAGATAGACAATAGGGTAGGTTGAGGAAAGAAAAGGATCAGGGCAAGCTTTGTAGAGGAAGTGATACTTGAATTGAGTTGTAAAAGACAAAAAAGTTTGGAGATGAGAGGGTTGGAAAAAAATGGAACTCCTGGTAGAGATAGTGATGTAAGTTTCTTGAACTTTTGAATTCTGTGATATACCAGCAGCTTTTTTGCCCAGGCTAGCCTCCAACTGTGGATGGAAATGGAAAGGAAGGTTTTTAGAGTCAAAGAAAATTTGCTTTTCTTTAATAACTCAGAGCCTGAAAGTGATGATGATAACATGTAAGTGTGCCTTAGGAGGTGTGTCATGATGTACATTGTGATACATAAACACTTGATAGCGAATTACACAATTCCTGTATCAGCTTCTCTTTGGGGAGCTTCAAATGATATAATTACTTTTGCCCTCTCTCACCTAGTTATGCTTCTAATTTCATGACTTCTTCTATCTCTTTAAAAATAATTTTCTTTCCTTCCATATCAAACTTCAGATGAAACTATTTGAGAGCAAGCCCTAGCACTGAGAGTGCTGATAACAATTTGCATCTAGAAATTTGGACCAGGCTCATAATTTATAGATTCAATAGATATTCCTATATCAGACTCGCCTTAAATTTCAATCCCTTACAATTCTTTCAATTCCTTCTATTTTAATAAATATTATTTGTGTGTTATATTCCAGGTACTTTGTCTAGGTACCGTGGTGATATTAATGAATAAAATGAACAAAGATCCCTAAATTGGGTGTTCTGAGACTTAATTTCCAATGTGTGGGGGGATTTCCCCACACCTCCAACAATTCTCAGACACGAGCTGGGTATTCTACAACTCAACTCAGTTCTGACACTATCTACCTGAAGATAGCATCAGTTTCCACAGGTTAAGGGTTCAGTCCTACAAGACAACCCACCCCTCTACTTCAGACAGCATTCACAAGCCCAGGTTGTACTTCTGACCAACTGGCTGTAAGATCAGAGGTTCCCAAGACCAGCTCGTTGGGTTTGATTAACTTGCTAGAGTGGTTCACAGAACTCAGAGAAACATTTTACATACTAGAGTACTGGTTTATTATAAAAGGATCCAACTCAGGAACAACCATATGGAAGAGATGCATAGGGCAAGGCGTGGTGAAAGGGCACGGAGCTTCTATGCTCTCTCCAGGCTGGCCCCTCTCCCAGCACCTCCACCTGTTCACCAGCCTGGATGTTCTCCAAATCCTGTCCTCTTAGGTTTTTCTGGAGACTTCATTATATAGTCATGATTGATTAAATCACTGGCCATTGGCGACTAATTCAGCCTCCAGGCCCTCTCCCCTTCCTGGAGATTGGGGGTGGGACTGAAAGTTCCAATCCTCTAATCACCACCATCCTTAGGTGGGTTCAAAAATCACCTCATTAATGTCACAGGAGACACCTTTGTCACTCTGAACACTTAAGAAATTCTAAGGGTTTTGGGAGCTGTGAGTCAGGAATTGTGGAGGAAGACCAAAATATGTTTCTCATATATATTTGGTCCAGACCAATATGTATTTTTCTTATAAATCACAATATCGCAATCCTCGACCTGATGGAACTTACATTTTAGTAATCATCACAATGGCCCTGAAAGATTGCTTCTTTTCTCCCATGTAGACAAAGGATTTCTTAGAATTAGGCTGCTACCTATAGTCGTGATTTTCTTTCATAAGCGTTGTATAGACACTAGGGCAAGAAGACATTTTTTATTTCAGGGGAAAGAGACTTTTTTATAGCTGGGGGTTCTGTAAGGATAGACCAGTATGATGTGGCATATTTTCTCTAGTTTACCTTGTGGAAAATGAAAGTTTGAAGGTACTAAAAATATAGTGGTTTCAGAGACAGATAAGTGGGTAAAGGAAGAAATATTTAAAGACCAGTTATTTGAAGCTTTCCTTGCCTTGTGCTTCAGTGAGGAGAGAGAGAGAAGGCAGCCACCAAATGATTAGTGCATGAGTTATAGCTTGGGAATGCTTTAAATAGACAGAATAGAAACATAGGAAGAAAGTAGAAATGACTAAATAGGAGAGGATTCTGTTATGGCATAAAAAAATCTGATTTATTAAAATTGCAACAGGTTTGAAATAGAGTATTTTCAGTTTTAGTGTTTGATTATAGTTCTTATTTGTTATTTTATGGATGCTGTGCCTCCTCCCTCCTTTTTTCTCTCAGAAAAAAGCCCATCTCTGCAGACAAATGCGAGTTTCGACAAGAAATCAGACAGTACCATTACAAATACTGTAATGGAAAACCCTTTGCAAACACCTCTAGCAAAACAGTCAGCTGCAAAAAGTTTTGAAACATTGACAACTTTACCAGCATTTTGGCCATCAAATCAAGAAGAGTTGATCAGCCCTAATTTAAGGCTATCAAAGTCAGATTCTACCTTCTATAACCAGGGCTCTGTAGAGACACTCTATGTCTCTCCCTCATTCAAAACATTTGACCCAGTGAAGGAGATGGCCATCAATAAGGACGATCAGAAACCAACACAGTCCAGCGCCGTTCAGATGGAGGAGGAAAGCCTCAAGACCTTAACCACATGGGGTGAGTCTACCAAAAAAAATCACAACCTAAAAGCCTGTTTTGAAGCATTCTTCTTTTACTTTCCTCTGCTTTCTGTCTGCTTTTTTTTTTCCCCCCTCCTTTCACTCTCCATCTAGTGATATTAAAATGTCCATGCCATAGAGGTACTTCTTGGTTGGGAAAGTGCCCCCCTTATTAAAGGGCTAATAGACAGTTCATCACTGTAAGTTACGAGTGCTTGATTGAAGCACAAGTTCTGAGCACTTTTGATGCAGAACAAATTAGAAAGAACTAGCATTAAATAAGAGCTTCCTGTTAGACATCTAGGTTACACTACTGTATGTGAAAAAGAATTGGTTATTATGTATATTGGTGTGTATATTACTGAGCAAGGGCTTGCCAGCTGATGCGCACAGGAGCCAGCACCATGGCACCGGCTTTTGAGGAAAGAAAAGGCTTTATTGTGAGGTCAATAACCAAGGAGACAGGAAGCAAGGCTCTCAAATCTGTCTCCCTGACCCAGGGTTTGGGGCGAAATTTAAGAGGTTAGGGGGAACAGGCTGGTATGTGGAATCACTGGCGGGGAAGGTTTTGATTGGAGGGCTTTAAACATTTATGGTAAGGTGTGGAAGGGGCTTTAACACCAGATCTTCCTAGACAACAGACCACTCGCTTCTGATGAGAGTCTGAGTTTCAAGTTCTGGTCAATGCGGGGAGAATCTTTGGTTCCAGTAGGGGGAGAATCTTTGGTTCTGGGTGTTATTTCAGATCAAGATTTTCTCCTCTGTATGCTCTCGCTACATGACTTGCATTTTTGGCTTGCCCCTGAAAAATAACCTTAACCTTCTGTTGATAAGATGGGGTCAGTTTGAACTGGTCCTAGAGGGCCCGTGGTTACATGTATACACACACAATATATATGTGTGTGTGTGTGCCTTTTTTTAAAAGGGCTGTGTACTGATTGGGTTGGAGAATCTCTTCCTTTTTCTGTCTTATAAAACATTAAGAGCGTTGCAATATTGTTTAGACTGGATGGTAAAAGATAAAGCCAGTTGAGATTCCAGATTGTTATCTGTCAGTTATTAAATTCTACATTTTATAATTATGCTTTCTTCTGTAAAGTTAATTAGTAAAAGAATAATTTGTTTGCTCATGCATTTTTCAAAGACTAAGTAGTTTTATTGGTTCTTATGTATAATAGTGCTTACTAGCTCATATAAATATAAAGTTTTTAATATAAATCTTTTAAACTGCCTCAAACTCAGGTCAAAATTACCATATAACTACAAACAATGGAAGCCAACATGTTGAGGTTAAAGAAATTTACCTTGGTGCTAGTAAGGTCAGTGAATAATAAGATTCTCCTTACTGCCCTTTCCAGAGTTTTGGGGAATTGAATAGCCTAAAACTAAAACTGATTCTTAGTTTTGTTACCAAATTAACTTTTCTGCTGAGACTGCTGATGTATAAACCAATTAGTACTGGTTATGATGACTCTGATGGCTTATGTGCATGGCTGACCCCTGGGAAGTTGTTACTTTTAGTTCATTTCTTTCACAAATATCACAAAAAGATAAATAAAATAGTTTATGGCCACTGCCTGTGTACCAAATATGCTTATTTATAAAAATTGGCAAGAAATTCCTCTAAAACCGGTTAGCAAGGAGGACTTTTGCTTCGACTTATAATGAAGTAGATAGTATTGGTCTAACTCTCCCACCAAAAATACTGGTTAAAGCTGGAAAACCATTAAAAGCTGGTTTGAAGTCATTGTAAGACAACCAAGGTAGAAAACGCATGATAGCTCAAGATCCTAGGGAAAAGGACTGTGGTAATGTGATATAATAAGAAATCTATATTTGGTCTTCATCCCTGGTTCCTGGCCAAAGCTTCTAAAACTCTCATAATTTCCTGAGTGATAGGGGTGAGAGGAGTGCCTTTTTGTTATTCATAATAAGCCTCTTCCGACCATACCTGAGTTTATGCTAATGAGATGAGTTTATGCTAATGAGGTGGGGGCTGGTGCCAGAGTAACCAACCAGGTAATTAGAGGGTTGGAACTTTCAGCCCCACCCCCTGACCTCCAGGGAGGAGAGAGGGGCTGGAGGTTGAGTTAATCACCAACGGCCAATAGTTTGATCAATCACGCCTGTGTAATAGAACCGCCATAGAAACCCTAAACAGTGGGGTGTAGAGAGCTTCCAGGTTGGTGAACGCATGAAGGTTCTAGGAGGATGGCACTCCCAGAGAAGGCATGGAAGCCCTGTGCCTCTTCCCCATACCTTCCCTATGCATCTCTTTCATTAGGCTGTTCCTAAATTGTATCCTTTATGATAAGTCAGTAAGAGTAAGTAAAGCACTTTCCTGAGTTCTGTGAGCTATTGTAGCAAATTATCGAACCCAAGAAGAGGACCATGGGATCCCTCGATTTATAGCCAGCAGGTCAGAAATACAGGAGGCCTGGATTTGTGGTTGGTGTCTGAAGGGGGGGCAATCTTGAGGGATTAAGCCCTTAATCTCTGGGGTCTGCACTAACTCCAGGTAGTTAGCATCAGAATCAAGTTAAACTGTAGGATACCCAGTTGGTGTCCACAGAGAATGGGAGAAGTCCTTGGTGTGGGAAACACACACATTTGGTGTCAGGAGTGATGTGAGGAGAGTAGAAAACTAGTTTACTTTTTGTTGGTCCCACATTCACCTCAGTTTTCCCACCTTGGATCATTTGCCTGTTAGCAGAGCAGGATGATAGAAGCTGAGGGAAAATCAGAGGGCTGGGCTTTCCACAGTTTCACTGAGCTTGGGGGATAGGCTTGGAGTGTGAGGCTTCCAAGGTGGCAGGGACTCAAGGAGCCAACACTCCAGAGTGAGGGAATCACAGAGAAGAAAGTCCTAAAGTCTTTGTGTAATTTCTTACTGAAACACTTGCCTACTGCTGAGCTGCACATGTTCTGGATGAGATGCCAAGAAACTAAATGGGAGGCAGCTTCTAAGGGGCCAACATACTAGGAAGAGATGCTGATGATCTTGTGATGCTAGGAGACAGAGGTTGGAGTTCAGGAGATGCCAGATTGTAGGGGCTCTGGTAAATACTCCATACTTTCAGTTGGGACCTCTGACAGGCTACACCCTAAGCATCAGAACTGCACTCTAGGAGTAAAGACAAACCAGAAATAGGACAGTCCTCACAAATGCTGAAACCCAGCTTCAACTAGAGCCAAGTGGTTGCCGTGTATTACATCTGTCTTCTAGAAGACAATGAAATCCTCTTGAGAGCCACTACAATTTTTCATGCAAAGTTTTTGGCATTCAACAAAAAATTACCAGGCATACCAGGAAATGAATAAATGGCCAGAAATACAGGAGAACAACAGACAACAGAAATAGACCCACAGATAATCTAGATATTGAAGTTATAAGAGAGGTACTTTAAAATAATTATAATTTATATGATCAAGAAAACAGAGGAAAAGCTGGAGAATTTCATCAAAATACTAGTATCTATAAAAAAAAAGAATCAAATGAAAATTCCAGAGCTGAAAAATATAGTAGCTGCAATTAAGACCCTGAAGGTACTATTCAGTCCACATGGCCTGAGATGTCAAAAGAGAGAGTTCAGTGCTGGCAGAGAAGCTAGAAAGTTATGAGGGAAATCCTAAAAGAGAGGGAGACTCAGAAGGGGTGAATCCCATATTCTGTTTATAAACTTTTCCCAAGTTCTTGACTGACTACTAAACTATACATAGAGGGGAAGACCCTGGTGAGTCTGGTGCAAAAAAAAAAAAAAAAATGAAGAGCACTGGAAATTATAAATATGTGGGTAAATATAAAATACTATATATTTTATTTTTTATTCTAATTTTAAAAATACATATGACTGTTAAAAGCAAAAATTTTAATACTGTATTTTGGGTTTTAAAACATATGCAGCTGTAATACATATTACAACATAGCACAGAGAATGGCTGAATTGCACAGTTGTTAAGGGCACAGGTTCTGGAGTCACACTGCCTGGGTTGATAATCTCAGCGCAGCCACTACTTGTGTGACCTTAGGCCAGGCCCCTGACCCTCTGCATGTCAGTGTCTCCATCTATAGAACAGAGAGAGTGGTGGCACTGCCACCTAGAGCTGCTGTGGGGACTCCATGAACTGACAAACATAAAGTGCTTAGAGTGGGATCTGGTACTCAGTAAGTGCCATATAACAGTTTGCTATTATTACTCTAATGCCCATATATTTAGTTCCACTTTCAGAACTGTAGGACCTCAGCCCCCTCCTAACCCTCAAAATCCCCTCTGGTTATTTCCAAAAGAACCCCGGAGTTTCTCATTTATTCTCAGGAACAAGTAAACTCCTGTCCTTCCAGAAAGGGCATCCAGGCCGAGCAATAATATGGAGTTGTGACTGACCAAAGAGATTCTGGGGAGCTCCACTTCATTCTCCCTAGAGCAGCCAGAGTGGGCTGATGGCTGCTACTCCCCACTTAAACGGAGGACTGCTCGCCCTGTTCCTCAAGATCCTGCTCAGTCTCCCTTCTGCCTCTCTCAGCAGCCTGGTGTTCTTTCCGTTTGTCAAATAAACCAAGTTGCCTGACCACCTTTGTACTCTTGTTCTCTCTGACCAGAACACTCTGATCCACCCCTTCCCTAGTTCACACCTACTCATCCTTCAGAGGTCGGCTCAAACATCCCTTCTTCAAGATTTTCTGGCTCCCTCGATTATTTCAAATCTCCCCCAACTGTATGCTATCTTGGTATCCTATAATTATCCTTCCTGGTACTTATTGTCATTCTAATTAAATATAATTACATATTCATTAAGTTGTTTAATGCCCCCCCCCTTAGTGGAATGTCAACTTCATGAGGAAGGGACCGTATCTGCCCTGTTTATTATTGTAACCCCAGCCCCAACCACAGTGCCCAGCACATAGTGGGTACTCAACATTTAATAAGTGAACTAAAAGCAGCTTAGTAAAGCAGGAATGGGAAGTATGCATGAAGAAGGAATAGAAGAAAACACTGG